TTAAAATATATTTTAAAAAATATAAAAACTAAACAGCCTACAGTATTTTTACAGTCTTTATTTTACAGTTAAAATATATGTTCATTAAATAAAGTCTAATGTTACAACTAATCATAGATCCCTTTAAATGAACAAAACTACTATTTTGTTAGCACTTTATTTTAGAGAACACAATCTAACCACTATGTGCTTTTTAACATACAAATATATACTATTGTGGTTTTGCTTTACAATTATTAGAATATTATTTGCAAGTGTATTTTAAAAAATGTTTTATATTCTCTGTATACATAAACATAAAGCCTGTTGTTTATTGTCACTCACTGCTGAAGGCAAAGCAGTGATAGTGATTTTTGCCTCTCTGTGTAGTTTCATTTGTAGCGTTAGCAGAGTTTATGAACCACTTGTCAGATTTTAAGAAAACTCCCAGAAAGTAATCGTTAGATGTAAATCTACAAGATTACATTTAGAGTCAAAATGGTCGCTACAACTGCTCAACGTTTTCAAACATGAAAATGGCTTCAACTCAGCTAATTTTAGTTATTGAACTAGTTTTGTGTAGTTGCTGAGTCATACTCAATGCATACTCTGAGTTTTTCTCAGCAAAATATCTCATGAGCCACTGTATAAAATTTATCTAAACCTTAATCCATGTCAAGTTGGTTACCACAGCCAAATTGGCTTTGTGGCTCTATCTACCTTTTTGAATCACGTGGCAGCTGGGTTGGAGGCAAAATGAGACAATGAACCATTAACACTCTCACCAACACCTAGAGAAATTTTTAGAGTTACCAGTAAACCTAACAAACAGGTTTTTGGTCTATGGAAGGAAACCAGAGTACCTGGAGAAAACCCATGAATGCACAGATTCAAGATTCAAGTAGTTTAATTGTTAATGCTTCATATGAGCAAAACATGCAAAGAATTGAACTTGTGTTACTCTCTTTCCCAGTTACAACATTAAACAAGTAATCAACAGAAATTGCACAATCCAATAACATTGTAAATAAACAAGAAAGTGACAATAAATGTGTAATACAATATGGACACAGATACAGATGCATTTGTGACATCAACACAAAGATAACAGGAAACGGAGGGGACCCTAGTGCAAAAATAGAGATCTTTATACAAGAAAAAGTTGAATATTGCAGTTATAGTGGAATAGAAGCTTAATGCTAGTAAAATTAAAGTAAAGTGAAGGATGCATATGAGTGAAATATACATACATATTGTGTAAGCCCACAGGGAGAACATGGAAAGTTCACACAGAAAGACCCCAGACTGGGAGGTGACCTCTAAGAGACAACAGCTCTAATCACATGCTGCTCCATATATAGCTATATTTTAGTTAATTTTACAGATATCCAGTTAAATAGTGTGATGATAGCTAGGGGTCATTTACAACACAAACTCAGAGCGTGATATTTTGGGGTAATGCATGACATCAAGCATAATATAAGCTGCGTTTCCACTGACCATGAAAATGCACAAATTAGAATTTCAAAAATAAATTTGCTCAATGGAAACAGGTCAATTTAAAACAAAATTACGTTATTTGACAAAATGTTTTTGCGCTAGGATGAGGCGGTTTCATATCGAAATTGGTGTTTTTCGCAAAATTGCGATAGAAACCCTTTTTTCGCATCACGGGAGTCACGTGATCAACAACCGTCTGTTTCTACTGGCGAAAAAGACGATGATGATGAAGATAACAGGAAGTAGAAGTAGTAGTAACATCACAGAAGTAGTATAAAATAGTAAACTCACCGACTACAATTTCCCAAAAACACAGCATACGTAGCCGCTCCCAAGTAGGGACTTGTCTCTGGAAAGCCTCGATAAAAGATGCCGACGTCTCCTCTGATGATGAGCGCTAGTGTCGTGGTAGCAACATGCTATGTGTTTACAGTGGTTTGCAAAAGTATTCATACCCCTTGAACTTTTCCATATTTTGTCACATTACAAC